TCCTTGGGCCACCATTGCTACCCATCCAACCACTCTGGGGGTGACGACTCGCTTTTGGATCTGGAAGGTGTGTGCATCCAGAAAGCATTGTGTGCAACAATCGCAGAAATCCCAGAATAGGGTTTAGGGAATCTCCAGGAAACCCATCGTTTTTGGGGTTGGAAAACCATGGTTTCCTGTGGAATTTACAGCTAGTTGCTTTAGCCCTGCTTGCCAAAGGAGCTATCGACGCGACGCTTCGCCAACATGTGTTCTTCCTGATTCTTCTTTCCATGTCTTTCCCTAATCCAGACACTCCATGGGACTGGCATATTTACCTACATTGGGGTGGTTTTACATTGAAGTAGCTAGCTCGGGGTCAATGCAGGCCATTCCATTGCATACATGAAACATGGAGTGTCTGGGTAACAAAAGGAAATGACCCGGGGGTCGCCCCTACGACGAACTTCGGGGGTCGCCCCTACGACGAACTTCGACTCCTGAGAGCGCTTGGGATTCGCATGACCCAATAAGAAACTGGACATGTGCTGACCAGGAACTGTCCACGCACCGGGAAACAATCCAATCACGTCGATGATTCCCCCCCCTTCTAGGGATTCACATGGATTCATCCGTAGTAGGGAACCTGAAAATCACCCCAACATCACCTGTTTGTTGGATGCAAAACCAAAAAAGGGCATCGACCCATTGCCATGTATCACCTGCCTTCTTCGCCCGATTAGCCGCCAAAACGAGTTCAAGACTCACCTTCGCTCCTCCGAACCGCTGGGCTTCCCAAACCGTGCTCCATTGGGATGGCCTCGGTAAGACCAGCGGATCTCAGATGAATCGATACCTGGACCCTCCGACCCTGGTGTCCTGGCTGGACTACCCCACACGGATCCGGCCGTTGGGCTTCCTATTGGGCACCTCGGTCCTGGAGGGGTCGTATGTCCAGGGTCCAGGACCATCCGAGCTTCTCGGACATCGACCATCCGATTTGGAAGTATACGTACTCACCTCCGTTCGACCATCCGATTTGGAGGTACCTGGACCCTATGGGTATATGACCTTTGCCCAAACGTTCACCCATTTCTTCGGATGATGGAAGATGGTCTAAATTTAATTCGCGGGCTATGGCAGGCATCGGCGCGTTTGAGGGCCGAAAATTGCCGTTGCTGGGTTGCAAATACAATACAATGAACATCAATGAACAGTTCAAATCCGTTCAAATCCATTCAAATCCCACAGTCACCATTCACAATGGCTTTTGTGGAGCCACTGCTAGCCATGGTTTAGTCGAGGACATGTCACACCTCTTCTTGGGCGATGGCCAAATCCGACCAATCCTTATCCCCTACCCTGAGGGCGCCAGTCGGACCTTCGTTTCGAAGGTGGGACGACCGGGGCCCGGGTGCCAGTGCGTCCAGTCATACCGTACCTGGGGAGGAAACCTCCTGGAGCCCAAACACGCTACATCTCCAGTCGTCCCGCACCGACCCGAATCCGAGCGTCGGGTGGGAACCAGATTCAGTCCTGTATACTCAGAAGCTTATGATCCTTTGACCCGGAATCCGAAGTCGCCGCAAGCTAGTTCTCCAAGCGGAGAATCCTGCGGAACGTGCACACGCGGCTGTCTCCACCGCCCATGGCCGCCCAAGTGGCGGCTCGTTTGCTTGTGAATAAACCAGAAGACCAGCCTCAGGCAGCTCGGATCAAGTGGTCTGTGGCAGTGGAGAGGTCTGTATCTATCGCTTCTCACGGGAGGTTGTGTAATCTACCTGACTCGATCTACCTTTCCCCAACTTTTGACGTTGTCGTTATTTTGTGTTCCTTATGGTTTTACAGCACTTTGACTAACTGCAACAAATGTAGTATAATTTAGGTACATTATATAAGTACAGTATAATATATAGTGTTAGCACTACATGCATGTGGTGTGTGGAACCTTGCAGATCTGAAAACATTAGGCACACTTCATTCCAACTACATCCATGAGGTGGCCTGCCTACGGAAAGGTGTTTAGGCTCGCTGTGTTATCGTTTTTCTTATCGTTTCGTTATCGTTTTCATGCCTGGTGCAAGTTGGAAAGCCATGTGGCACGACAATGCTGCAGCACAAGGCTACAGCGGTCCAAGCCCTCCCACCTCTGTCCAACCATATAACCACTTCTCGCATGTCAAGGGTTTTCCAGGGGTTTTCCGCAAGAGTCATCGGGGGTGATCGTTTTTGTTGCTTCCTTGTCGTTTTGTATACAGGGATTGAGCATGCTTCCAGAAAGACGGACCCGGACATGCGAAGACTCATTTCTTACCTGGGGGGGGTTTTGATACTCTCTCACGGTGTCTCGACGGTCTCAGCTCTGCAGAAGAAAAGGTCAACCGAAGAGCCACCACGCTACGACCCTCGGTCTTAGTCTGGAAAAAAAGGCAATATCCCAAACCATCCATGGGACTGGCATATGTACCTACATTGTGGTGGTCTCAGGGGTGAATGGGACTGGCAATTGTTTTTCCCATTGGTCGTCTTTGGGTTTGGTGCTTGAAAAAGGAGTTGAAAGCTTGGCATGTCCCATCGACATCGCCATCGAACGAGCTCAGCTCATCTCATGTGTTTGGCTCGTCTCCTCTTACAGCCGGACTGGAAGAGATGCTCGGGCTATCTCGGTGACAAAGGAACCGAATCAGGAAACACCGAATCCCTGGGGTCCGGGGCATATTTTGACACCAAACACTTCAGGTCGATGGTCCCAGGGAATCGATGGTCGAATGTCCGCTGATCGGGCGACTCCGGCGACCAAACCGCGACCGCGACCGGTGGTGCGACTCCGGCGCAAATCTGTCGCCCCAAGCACACTGCATTTCTGATTTTGAGGAGGGGCAAATCAGTCCATACAAATCATGAACAAATCATATATGTTTTTTTTCTTGTGAGGTTTGGTCAGTCCATCATGCGTTTGGCCCCGTCACCCAGTCATCTCCAATCTATCGTCATTATGTATCGTTTCCTCGCCACAGAGCGCGCCAGATCGCGATTCTCTTTGTGCCAAAAGCAATCAGTGACCGATCAGGTCAGCAGGTCCACTTGAAAACACCCTTCTTCGCGACCGATCGGATCGACCAAATCCATTTTGATAGCGGGCCGGGCATCGTGGCCCAGCACCTTGAAGGACTGGACTGGGCATCGTTTTGGTTCACACCGGTGGAAGAAATGACCGGGTTTTCGGGATCGGTTTTCGGGTTGGAGGAACCAAATCGGAGCGGCGAACGGAGCGGACCTGGGCACACTTAAACACAAATGGAATTGCAATACCCAGACACTCCATGTATGCCATATATGCCTACATTTGGGGGGTCAATGTAGGCATATATGGCATACATGGAGTGTTTGGGATATTTACATACATTGACCCCTTTTGCAACCACCCCAACTGATCGGTATATACACATGCCATACCCCAGACACTCCATGGGACTGCCAGGACGGACTGCCGATCAGGCTAGGGGTGGTTGACTGGGGGGTCTGTCTGGGGCGGCAGTCAGTCCCAAACAAGTCGTGTCTGGGTACATGGAGTGTTTGAGACATACCCAGACGCTCCAAACAGCCCTTGGTCCCTCAAAACCCTCCATATGAGGGTCCGGCCCCTACACTGGCCCCTACTTAGGCAGGTCCATGAGCATCTGGGTATATCAAAGATTTTGATGTTTTTGGGCTGAGGCGACATGGACATGGACATGTTAAAAGTAGCCAGTCTGAGTGTGACTCTTCCATTATCCAAAACCATCCACGGGACTGACATAGGACTACCGATCAGGCCAGGGGTCCTTCCGGGGGGGGTCAATATATTCCATGCAGTCCCATGGATGGTCTGGGATACAGTGTTGGGGTCGATGTCCGAGCCGCGCCCATCGGGATGAGATGGAAGTCTGCCGACTCTTCCAGTCGAACGTTGTGTCTCCCGAAATGATCTCGTCCAGTCCAGTCTCGTGTGGATTTGTATTTCTGAGTGGTTTCAATCTTCCTCCGAGTTCCACCACCCAAAACCCACACGCCAGTTCCATCTCCGCCAGGTCCTTCCAGGCTCCTTCCAGGTCTATAGAGTTGGATCCCCGGATCCACCGATCCGACCTCCGGGACCCGAAGGAAGGCGCCGACCGTGATCCATCGGATCCACCCGTCCTCTGGAGTACCGGGTCGGTTCGGATACCGAACAACGGATCCCAAACGGGATACAATAGGGATACAATATACATATAGATGTATATTAGTCAGTGGGTGAAAAGGTCTGCCAAGTCAATGGTTGGTGTCAAAGATTCTCAATAGATCAAAGCGCCAGTGGTCTCTCTTCTGATCACGCGATACGGTATACCAGGGATGTATATCAAGGGCGTATACACTCCCTAAGATAAATCGTGGAAGTTGATGCCACAACCTTTAAAGGAATTACTTAACCTAGGGCTCCAAGTACCTTCTAAGAAGGTGTTTGGGGTTTAGAGGGTCCAAATACCATCTGAGGAGGTACGACTGGAGCCCAAACGGGCTAATCATCCAAGAAGGCCATGGCATCCACGTGCCCGGAGCGGAGTCTGGAAGAGGGAGTGTGGATTTCATTGGGCCGGAACTGAGCCATTACCCAGACACTCCATGGGACTGCCGTATATGCCGATCAATTGACCCCTCAAACCACCCCAACTGATCGGCATATATGGCAGTCCCATGGAGTGTCTGGGTTAATGGTTGGATCTCTTTGACCCCGAACCGATGCAACAGTCGATCTGATCCTACGCGCCATCTACAGCCCAAACTCCTGGGCGCGCCGCCGCCCGTCTCTCCGGGGCAGGGGGGGCCGGTGGGGGCGGCTCGCCGCCCGGTAAAGCGGCCCGACCGCCGCAGTGGCAGGGGGTCCGGCTCAAATCCACGAGACCATTCTTGACAAAGTCCTACATAAACCATCATAAGATCTACAATTTAAATCACCATATGTGGTTTTTTGAGCCAAGACTTTTGAGGGGCAAAACCACTCAAAGCTGGTAGACACGCCGGGCGTTGAGCTCGAACAGCTTCTGGCGGTCCTCCACCGGAACGCGACAACGGAACGAGACCGACAGCGGTTGAGATGGTGAAACTGGACAGGGGATGGTGATATAGGCCGCACCCTTAAGCGGCTTCGGGGTGCGAGAAAAGGCCAAAGCACTCAGCCACTTAAAGGACCCTCCAAGAACAACCTCGGTGCCCGCGGTGTTCCGCTGCCCGCGGTGCCCGCGGTGCTTCGAACAGCTCGCTGCGGCGTCGACGAGCGGGTTCCCCGCTTTCGGCACCAGGTCGGAGACGCAAGGGCCGTATAGCAAGTGAAGCATCCAGTGAGACCCCATCTGGAAGAGCCTTCAAAGACTTAGCTCGTGTGGAACGTGGAAAAGGAAGATCCGATGACCTCCAAATCCAACAAAACCACAAACACCATGTCCCAGCCATACCGTATGTAGATAGGAACAGATATACATCCATATATGAGTTGTGGAAAGTCTTTGGCAAGGGCAAGGAGGGTACTGTGGAGGGTAGTTGGTTGTCTTGAAAAAATGTCCTGTTTGTGCATATGATCTAATTTCCTCTTCGCTCCATTCGCCTGCAATTTGGTGGTCTGCATGGGTGGTGTCACTGGTTCTGCCCGGCATCCTGCACTACTGAAACCGACTGGGCCTGGACGACTTCACTGGTGCGACTCCGGAGCGGAAGTAGGTCTTACCAGGGGCCACACATGGCCCATCAAAAACCTGGCTTTTCCCTAGCAAAACACATGGTTTTTGTATGTGAAACCGTTGTTTTTCATGGTTTGGTTCGGGCCCCTGGTAGTTCTGAAAGACTTCGAACCATCCAACATCTATCCCAGCCCATCCATGGGACTGGAATATGACCCCCCGTTCACCACCACCCTTGATCGGTCAAAAGCTTATGTCAGTCCCTCGAACGTCTGGTCTGGCCTCAGACCTTCGGAGCCTGCCTCAATCTGTCAAAGATGCCCAAACACGACCCGTCTGGGACTGCCAGGACGGACTGCCGAGAAACGGCCCAGGGGTGGTTGACTGGGGGTCAATGTATATATGGCAGTCCCAGACAGGTCGTGTTTGGGATGTTCAAACCAATCCAACCATCTCGCCGGATGTCACACTTACTCACATTGCCTCGCCTGGTCGCCTGGTCCGGGCCCAACTCACCGGCGACACCGTCCTCCAACGAATAGTTCCGCACGCACTTCTTCAGGGCATTCCAACAAACGGTGTAGCTGCCTTGGACATGGTGCCACACTCCTTCTCGCCACATTGGACATGACATCACCAAGCGGATTGTTAAGGAGAAGATATTACTCCAAACACTTCATGGGAGCAGACTATGTTCCTACATTGGCCACTGAAACCATTCGATGGAACTCCCGCGCTTGACCCCAGCCAAGCAGCAGGTGATGCGATCCATCGGGAAGTTCGACTCCATGATGCCTCGGACAAAAGAGCGGCTGGCAAAGCAATGCCTGAAGGTCCACTGGAACCATTATAATTGGAATACGTCGCTGGGCGCAGTCGCAGGTCGGTTAGGGGTGCGGACTCTATGGAGGTATGGAGGTTAGTGCTCCTGTCACATCCACGAGCCCTGGATGGGACGAGCCACACCACCCCGTCTTGTGAATCCTGGTGGTTTGAAATACATTTTCTTGGAAATGAGATGAATGTTCAGGTGCAGTGCGACGGGCAGTGTGTGCGACAGCTCATCCAAACGTGGTAATCCCTTTGTCAGGCGAATGTAGCCCTACTATGTAGCCCTACTGGTAACATGCACACAAACTGATCCGGCCGACAGTAGATGAACCTGAAGAACAAAGAGCTTCAAAGAACAATTGGTTTCTCATGTGGCAAAACCTTGGTCCGCCCGGTCATCTGGTCGATGTCCGGAGGTCTATTGATTGTTCGGTCCGTGTCAGGGCTCGTGGATGTGACAGAAGGGGCACCCAACTCCTACCTCCATGGAGAGCACCTAAGCTCCATGGCACTGCTGGTACATCAACAACCAGGGAGTTCGGTGTTGACCTTCGGGTTGTGGCTTGGACCGGCTTGGAGGGACAACGACAGCTCGGTTGCGGGGAGGTTCGGGGGGTGGAACATGCAACCCGGAGCTCACATTCTCAACCCATCCATGTTCCTCAACAAGCACCTCACTGCACCAGCACCCTCAAAGGGGTCACCTGGCTGGAAGCCTACGGATCTAGAACGCCAGGACACCCTGGCTGAATTAAGGTCTAGGTATATACCTTAAGCAACTAAGAAGCGTCATCAAAAAGGGGGTCAGCAAGCTGGCAAGCTGAAGATGAAGGTATTTGTACCAGCACCTTCAAAGGGGTCACCAATGGAAGCCCCTACACTACTAAGGGACCTCCAGCCAGGACACCCCGAAAGAAGGTCCAGGTAGGCAAGGACTATATTCGAACGCTGAGCCCAGTGGCATCGGTCGACCCCGAAGAGGGTGAGGCAGTGCGAGATGTAAGGTCTCCAGGCGTCCGCCAGCTCTTCACCTAGTTGTGCACATCGGTGGATGATTCTAAGGCTCTCGGCTGGCTTACTGTATATCAATCAAAAGGCCAACATGTTGCATAGTGACAAGGATCTTGCCCAGATCCGATCTCGGCCGAATCTTGGCACATGAAATCCGATCGGATGGTCCCCTCCGGATGGTCGAAACGGCCGTCCGCGCGCCGTGCCGAAACATGGTGGTAAGCTCAGCCGTGCCGAAACGATATGAAGAGGTCTTTGATGGCTCTTGCAGTCGTCCATGCCCGGCGGGTGGGTTTGATGTATTTTTGATGTATTTATGATGCACATATCATATATAGCGCGCACAAGATGTCTGATCTCAAAAAACTCAATCCCGCTTGTTCAGCTTGGTATCTTTCATTGAAATCATTCCTTGCTGCTGTCACATGGACTTGTTTCCCCCCAAAACAACGATGCTCGCGGCGCCGCCACCGGAGGTCCGCCGAGCCGCTGCTGGCGGGCGTGGGACGCTCGTCGAAGCCGAAGCCCACCCAGCGCATGCCGAAGCCGCCGAGCCTGGCCGGGAACCCGGCGCGGGTGGAACCGCTGGGGCACCAGAAGGCCGGAAGGTTGGTGGACAGAGGTGGGTGGCGGAGGTGGATAAACATCTAACATCCACTGAAAATTTGTGGTTTGAAAGGTTTGAACATGTGAGTGTATATGAGGCACATTATGAGGCATATGAAGCAGCACAGGCACCACGCATGGAGTGTTAAGTGACTATTTCCAGTAGATCTTCCTGCAGAAAGCTTCGATGAAACACAACCTGCCCAAGGATCCATGCACGACCTACTGTCTTACTTGTGTCATGTCATGTGTTGTTGCTGCTGTTGCTGTTGCTGTTGCTCTTGTTCTTGCTCTTGTTCTTGTTATTGTCTTTTTTGTTGTTATTGTTCATGTTTTTTGGTTGTTGTTGTTGCTATTATTATTATTCTTATTATTATTGTTCTTCTTCTTCTTGTTGTTGTTTCCAAGCCATGATTTGTTTTGAAGAAAGGGTACTTCAACCTTCAACCCATGATTTGTTTACTTTAGTCCTTAAAACCGTGAAACAGCTCGACCAACTTATCCCACTATCCCAGGTGGTCTCCCCTCCCATCTCGCTTTCACCTGCGCAGCCAAGGCACTTCACCATGACATTCGGCACCTTGGCCAGGCGTGCCATGGACTCTTTCCAGACGGGGAAGACCTCTTCCTCGGTTCTGACAAAGCCGGAAGTCGACTCGGTTTGGTCTGCAAGTCGGAATTTCTGAGATGCCAAAGTAGATGCAATGTCTGAATCTTCTGGGAGAAGATTAGGTGGTGCCGAATGACTGAAGATGCCCAACCTGAGAATGCATTGTTTTTGTGGGGACCTCTCCCCCCAAAAAAAACCTCCTGTTGTCTTAGAGATGGTTCCTGTTGTCTTGTTCCCTCTTCAACATCTGCAGCATCATCGTCTGGAGTCGCAGGCGCCATGGCCCGAGGACATGAGAGGCGTGTCGACCATATTGCAGCCGTGAGTCCTTCTTATAGGGACCTCAAGCGGAGTCGAAGCATGAGTCGGCAGGCAGAGTCGAGCCCAAAGAATCTGCAGCCCCAGAGTTGCAGCAGGGATGGTGATGAAGAATGTTATGGTGAGTGATATGGCTGAACAAAACCCAAATGCATTCACTCTCAGTATTGAATTCAGATCTCTTCCGGTGCACCGAAACCAGAAAAAAAGAAAGCAGGGAAGAAACAACTCAGACAACTCATCACTATAGATTTAGTTTAAACTGTCGAAACATCTCATCTTCCCACTGCTCGTTGTGGACTTCAGTTACCGCCAGTTACCGAGGTCGCCACAGCAAAGACGAGGAAGCCACAGGGTCGGAAAAATCACTGTGCCACACTTCCTTCAGATGAACTCTTTACACTCTTCAAAGAAGCAAGATAGCTTGATAAGCTTGATAGACACCCTACTGGTGCTAGTACCATGATTCTCCCTATCAAGTCATACATACTCGTTCGAAACGCCCCCGCTGGACCGCGGCGAAGACCGTTCGAAAAAAGGGGGTTCTCATCACTGGTCCAGGACTGACCGAGCTGAACTGGCATGATATACCCTGGAAAAGTCGACCATTTTTATAATGGTTGATCTGGTTTTGTAGTGTAAAACCCACAGTAAAACAATTGTGGTTCGGTAAAGGCTATTAAAAAATTGTGGTTCGACTTCTAGGGATATACCTTAGAGCTCCAGTCGTGCCTCCCCAAAAGGTATGACTTGACCATACTGGACGTACCTCCCTGGCACCCGGGCCCCGGTCGTTCCACCGAACCGGAAGGTACGACTGGAGCCCGTTTGGGATACTGCATGTAGTTGTTTGCATCGCAAAAAAAGCAAACGCGAAGAAATTGACCTACGGGAATCTCTGTCTGCAGTGCACTCAGTGGACCTTTCCCTTTTCCAGTTGCTTCTCCAAACCTGAAAGTCAGTTGGATGAAGATGATGAAGGGTCCCCCAAGCAATCTATGCAGCAAAACATGGGTGTTTCCCCTTTTTTCCAATAAACAGCCTGTCTCAGAGTCGGTCGGCAAGCACATTGAAGCTCCAATACTACCTGCCAACCACCACTTCAGTTAAACGCCAACTAGACACTCCCAGTACCACCCAAAGGATGGTTTATTGGATGTTAAGCACATGGTATATGGGGGATTCTGAGGGTCTCCGCCCGAACTGGGCTGGAATTGGTTGCCCGAGAACATCCCAGAACTATACATGCATGGCCTCCACTCGCGCTGGAACTCGACGCCCATCTCGCAGACAGAGGGACTCAGGCCCAGGGGGTAGGCCATGTGGTCGCCTTGATGGTGTGTTTTCGCTCGAGTGACGAATGCTGTGAGAAGAAAGAAATTGGACACCGTGTACGATTCTGGAGTCATAAACCATCCCATTTGGATGCGCAGACTTGCGGGCTTGCTCCCACCAACCGTCAAAGTCCTCTTCATGTGGGGGTATTATGAATCAAGAGGCAACATTACATCTAGATTCTGGATTCATAAGGCCATTTGGATGGTGTTCACCTCTCCATATGGGGTGCTTTTAGATGCTTTTGTCAATCAAGAGTCTACACTAAAGATGCCAGTGTCTGAGAATGCCTTGAACATGGTATTTTGAATGCCTTGAACATGGTATTTTGACCCGCGTGCCACACGTTCCTGGACAATTCACGAGGATTTGTGGGAGGAGAAACACACAAACAAATACAGTTACTAAATCATCCCGAAATATCCTGAACCTGATACATGTTAGCACCATTTCAGGACCATTGACAAAATCATCATAACACCCGTACACCAACTATAGCAACTAGCACCCTCGAAATCGAAAGGAATCATATACCAAATCATCCAAAGCATTCCACCACATTCCACCAGAATTGCATGTTGCCTTCCACCTCCCCCTTCCTTCCGACTGTCCAAACATCGTCAGTCTTCCATCCCGGTCACAAATGATCGTCGTCTTTGGAAAGGCCTTCGCCAGGTCTTCCAACGCATCGATCTGCTCGTGGAAGAGCCAACAGTCGTACACGAAGCCGTACCTGCAGCCACAGACCGTGGGTCGCGAAGAGCCGAGGCAGAAAAAGCGGAGGCCATCAAAAGCGCCGCTCTGTTTCCGGCCCAACAAAAACCGCAGAAGGAGAAGAGCGTCCCCCAACTAAATGGTCACTTGAACGAAAGGGGTCACCATGGGTTACCAAGCAAAGCCCCTATACTTACACTACTCATGGAGATACCCAGCCAGGACACCTTTGAGGGTCACCTCCGCCGCAAGGTGTTATTTTCATCCCACAAGTGCGGTTCTTTTTGGCCCAAATACATCTCAAATTCTGCTCTTTGAGATGCCTCAACACTGCATAGAGGTGCTTGGGCTCCAAGTACTCATAGAACATGAGCAATTATAGACCGGTTTTTTGTACTTACTAAGCCGAATCCAGGTCTTTGGAAGGGCTTTTCAGTTCCCCAGGAGAGAGTTCCGACATATTGGGTGCCTTTTCAAACAAAAATCTGTGCCACCGGCGTGCCCCAAACAAGTGCTCATGATGAGAAAGGCAGTGGGAGTGGCAATTCCTGCAAAAATAAGAACATTCGACTATATCAAGGCTAGCCAGGACCTTCATTCAAAGTCCAGAACTCCAAGTGATACCAATTGACTGCCGATCGGTTGGGAAAATCCGATCACCTGGAACTGAAGGTCTCTCTTTCCTTTTGCGGGCGCTCCCCTCTCCTCGCGTTCCGGTGGAGTCAGAACCGAACCGAACCGCACGGTGGGTCCCACTCCACTGAACCGCGGCCGGAGTCCGGGAGCTCCAGCAGGTATTATTCATAGAGGCCGAGGTGAGACCGTCCCCGATGGAGACTGAGGGACGAACCGGAAGGTGCTGATCACTTAACCAGTCTGTCTGTCATATTGATGCAAAGCACCAAAGGATACAACATGACCCAAATAATATAGGATATGTGTGTATGACATATATTATATATTGGGATGGTTTCAGGGGTCAATGTAAACAAATATTCCAGCCCCTATGGAGTGCCTGGGTGATACGGATCGAATATGGCCACGTTGGACATCAGTAGGCCCACAGAAAGCCCAAAAAACAAGTATGCATCATAGAGATTGAGAAAGAACCAACTTGTACAACACTCCCAGCAATGCCAACAATCACATTCTCCACAAGTGTGTCAGCATCTCCAAGTTTTGCATCAACAAGGTCATCACGATCACCCATGTGGCACAGCTCCCACTCACGTCGACCAGATACTTCTCCAGCAGCGCGAAGCCTTCCCGGAACTTCTCATCATAGGCCGTCCCTTTGTTGCAGTGGGGACAGCTCCCACCACGAATCAGCGGATCTTCGCAGAAGGCCAAGGAGTGACGTATGCCTTTCACCTCAGGTCGTGTCTGGTTTCAATCGCTCTCAATATTCTCAATTAAGGTGCGATCACGTGGTTCCCAACCCGAAAAAAGGGCTGATCCCATAGCTAAATCTTCCGACATGTGTCCAAAGGACTCCCTTTTCATCTAGAAAACCAGCCAAGTTCGGATGAGATTTTGCGTATATGCAGCACAGCGCTCCCCAAATACCTGGACCCTCCATACCATTCGAAAATTGTACATACAGGACCCCATAAAAAAAATGTTTGTACCCACTTTTCGAGGTACCAACTGAGACTCCTACTTATACATATCCACGTTTTTCAATACATTCGTGGGAATGGACTGACCTCGATCTATTTGAAGGTCAACATCGTTGGACGATCGTTCTTGTGACCCTTCAAGGACCCAAGAAGTCTCGTTGACCCAGTTCGCCTCTTGATTCTACAGGGAAGATGTGAGGGAGAATGTGATACCCCAGAGCAAATCCATGGGATTGACATATATACCTACATTGGGGTGGTTTGGGGGTCAATGTAGGCATATATTCCATACATGGATGGTCTGGGTATTATGAAGGTTTGGGGAGTGGACATTTAGGTGAAAGATAGGTGAAAGATGGTGACAGAAACCCATAGTGGAGTTTGTGGTGTAGGCATGCGGCGTAACAAGATTCTTAGATCCAGCAAACTGGATTGAGTGAAGACAGGCAACGTTGCTGAATTGCATCAGATTCCATCTCGAGGAAAGTCAAAACAAGTTCTATCCAAAAGTTCCATACCAGGACCTATAGGGGGAGTTGGGATGGTTTTCATGAACTTCCCGAATCACCACCTTTTTGAGAAGTAGACCGTATTATACACCCTTTTCAACAGCCCAAATGTATTGCAAATATGTAAATATTCATCGCATGGAGTGTGTAGGATAGATCATGTTCAATTCGACCCATCTCTCGTGCGTCTCCCTCTCCAGGAAAAGGATCTGCTGCCTGGTGACCAAAGGGTTCGCCTTGTAGTACTTCAAGGCCGGCTCCACGTCCTGCCAGGAGAGACATTGGACCCAACATCACAAGCCATGCGTGTTTTGAAGCATCAAACACCTTGGGAATATGTTGTGTATTCTGAAGTTGAGTTTTGGAAAACCAAAAATAGTTTATGACTTGTGAGAATTTATCAAATTCAAGCCTTGAATTTGGAGAATTCTCTAAATTCGTTGAGCAATAACGACAAGCGCTGGCCAAACACCTGTCGAACGGCATCTTGCGAGAAGGAAACATATGTTTAAAGTGACCCAGTCAACACCTGGCTGGACAGAGAACCGGTGTTTTCTCACCAGAAAAAGGTATTCTCAGAAACCTCTGAAGGTCCAAACAAACCGGTTGGAAGCTCCCGCTATGCCTCGGCCCAAACGGCGTAGAACAACGGCCGAAACTCTTCCTGACCCCATCTGAATCCCTCAGTTTGCACCAAAAATACTGGTTCATTTTTTTTCACCTAGTCCTGTTTAGAGTGGAGAAACAAATATAGGTGCCGCTCAAAAAAAAAAATATGTGGCTATATGATCCACATACCTTCCGGTCCGGTCGCCCATCCTCTCCTTCGCCTGAACCCGCTCGTCCCGGTCCTTTCCGAGGCGCAGGTCCGCGAAGGCGACGATGCCGCCGCAGAGCTCCGGGAACTGCCGATGCACCTCGCCTCGGCTCGCGGTGTTTCAACGGGACGAACGGTCGCGAGTTCGGAATGGTGGAGGAGGAGCCCGTTTTGTTTGGGGGGACGTAAGCTGAGCTCGGTTCTCTAGTTTTTGAACCAAAAGGTATAATCTGTTTACCTTTAGCTGGACCTTTGCTGGGCTTGCCACCTTTTCCTTTGCCTTTCTCCTTTTCTTTTCCTTTCTCATTTCCGTTTCCTTTCTCACTTTTCTCACTCTTCTCAACTTTCCCCTTTCCTTTACCCTTCTGCTGGCTCGGGCTCTTGGGTTGCCGACAGTCTTTGGCCATGTGGCTCCTTCCACAGTTCCAGCACTCACGGTCTTTCGGATCGATCGAAGCGGCTCCCAACACAGGTTCAACTGGCTCGAACGTCTCACCTAACGAAGACAACGAAAGACCCCTATTCGTGCTAAAATCCTGCTCTGACAAAACTGTCTTCGAGTAGTAGTTAGCTACCGCTGTCTTTGCATCATCATACGTTTCCGAACGGGCATGCAACTGCACGTACCGACGACATTCAGTGCTAATGTTCTGCAACAACCAACGGCATCGTTCCGGTTAGCGGGCAAAATGTCTCGAACAATCGACGTGTCAACTGCAGTTTCGAAAATTTTCCCTAGCGAAATCCATTCAGCATCAAGCACGTTCAAAACATCTTTCAAGCTAGTTCCAGACTTTACTCTAAAGTTCAAACAAGCAAGAACGAAAATGAAGTGCTTCCGAACGAGTTTGCAAACTGTACTCTTCTTTCAACTTTTGCAACAAACGATATCCGTTAGTCGTGGTGGTCACTCCAAGACTGCTCTCATGCAGCTTTACGATCGACTGGACCCTCGGGCTCTTCTCTAGGGCCTGCTTTAGGATGTAGTACAACCTGCTACTCCTTTCCTTCTGGCTAGGTGACAGGTCACTGTCCTGAATTGGCCTCGTGCTACTTACGATTTCTCTTACCTCTTTAGAGAACTCTGGTTGCATCATACCAATCCAAGCTGTCAACTGATCTAGATAGCTGTGAAATCCTAAGATCTCTGAGGGCCTCGTGTTCCACTTGCTAGTGTCTGGTACAGGCATACTTGGCAGGATCTTAGAGTCGATACTCTTAAACAAACTTTTCTCATCCCTTCCGGCAGTCTCACTGCCGCTTCCGGCTGGGGCCCCTCCACTCGAAGTCGGCCCCGATGGGGCACTTGAACCAAGTCCTGCCGACACACCTCCATGAGCACCCACTCTCCCAGGCTGGGAGGTCAACAAGGCCATGAATTGTTGCTGCTGATCTTGCATTGCTTGAAACATCTGCTGTTGCTGCTGCTGCATCTGTTGTTGCTGTAGCTGCATCTGTTGCATCATGGACATGCACATCCCTATCAGCAACTCAGTTGACGAATTCTGACCGACATTGCTTCCCTTTGGGATACCAGGAGGCGTGCTAACAACACCAAGTGGACGCGGACCAGTCTGAAACATCACCGGACCCACAGGACCAGGCACGGACATTCCTGGAACGTTCTGACATCGGCGGAGGTGGTTATGCGCATACCCTGTGGCACCTGGACAGGAACCATGCCCGCACTCAAGGGCATGATGGGGACTAGACCTGGCATACCTGGACATCCTCCTCCTCGCATGACACTGACCTGTCCTGGTCCTGACAGACCTCCTCCTGAACTCACCTGTCCTGGTGTACATCCAAGAACTCCTGCCTGACCACTTGTGGCATCACCTTGACATCCGCCAGTCACACTGGCAACGCACCTGTGCAACCTCCTGGCCCAAACGACATGGGTGGACCTTCTGGACTCTGACCTGATCCTGCACCTCCTGGCACCCACCTAACGAACATCCTGGGTCAACCTCCTGCTCCTCTTGTGCCTCCTGCACGGGGACTCCCATGTTCCTACGAACCGATGCCTCAATGGCATCTGTCAGCCACACTTCGGTCGGCTGCATGCTTCGGACACCTCCTAACGAGGCTCCGCTACCATACGCAGATCCAAAATGGATCTGGATGGAGCGAGCTCAAAGACAAACTGCCACGAACGTGTCCCTTCAGGACTTTAAGTGCTACCTATATAATTCTTCAAATTACAAAAAGTGCACACCTGCGTTCATATATGTCTTTTTCCACTCACTCCTTGAGCCAAGTTGGCGTCGTGGCCATCCATTGACTTATTCCTGTACAGTGGTGTACTCTCATGTACACATGACCGCAAATTCCCGGGAGGTCCTAAACGTCTCAAGTCAGGGGCTTCTCAAAAGAGGAGGCCTGTCCACCTCGCAGGTGGGAAGTTTCAACTCGAACTGTCGGGAACGAACCGCAGGTTCAAAGAGAAATCCTCAGCCCACTTCTGGTGGCAGGCTATTCCAACGACCGTTGCACGAGGATCAACTGTATCACCTCACCCGGTCAAAGACCGTAAAACAAAGTCCACCACTGGCGCTGCATCGGGGGAGCACACTGGAAGTGGGATGCTCACGATGAGTTCATTCTACCATGGTCACCCTCGTGACTACAAAGTACTGGTTGGTGGACAACAGTGCTGTCATGTTCACCCACTGTCACTGTCGTGACAAGTTCAAGCACTGCAACATCACGTGGTCAAAAACAGGGTGGGGAGCTGCGGACCACTGGATGTCCAAAACTTCTGGATTCTAAAGGTCTTCAAGATCAAAGTGGCACACACAGCACATCACGCGTGTTCACGTGACACGTGTACACTGCTAACAAGACTTAGTCTTCTGGAGTGTCAACTGGTGCTGGTTGCATGCACTCCGTCCCAAAACCATTCAAGTCCACAAAACTGTTCAAGAGTTACACTTTCGGTCGGTTGGTCAACTGTGGGCGCGAACTGTGAGACAGGAGCGGTCCTCAAGCACCACTAGCAGGAATCATTGGTATAGTGGTTCAAAGCCTGCTTGGCACAAAGGGCCTCAACTGTTCAAGTTGCATGCGCCTGGTTCGTTAAGGACATTGCCCTGTACAGGGCTGCACAAACCCAAGTGGATGTCCACGTGTGGACTGCTGTCACGAAGTTTCGGGCTTGGAACGAGAACGAGTTCAATCCCCACGCTGGGGCTTGCACAGGATCAAGGTTGTCTCAACCACAGGTCTGCCTTGCAGTGGTGATGCTCAAGGATTCTGATCCTGGCACAAAGTAAAGAATTTGCTTTGTTCAGTTTATTGGCTTTCGATCAAGTCGGGTGCTACCCACATGCAATCTGGACGAACTTCACCTTGCCTTTTCACATAAACCCTAAAACCCTAAACCCTAACCCTAAATGTTTGTTTCCTGTTTGACACATGAAAAAATTGACGGTCTTTTTCACAAAATAGTATGAAAATACATATGACAACTCTATTTTCATATTTATTTGTTATTTATTTGGTATTGTTTCTTTTTCAGCTTGGTGCAAAAGTGCCAAGCGTTTCAGAATAGAACAGTTCAGGCAGCACTGCCTGGCGGGCGAGGGGATAGACCTCTGAATGGGTTCTTCGGATCGTAGCAGTGAAAAGTGCATCCCGATCCATCCCTCTTATACTTGTTGCACCTGAACCAGCGTTTCATGAGGCCGTCCCGGCCGCGGAATTGCTCCCACCGGCAGGAATTGGCCCCGCACCATGGGCACCTGTGGAACACGCCCATATTTAAAGTTTCTGGTGGTCGGGGCACCCCTGGTGGGAGTTCAGTTGCGCTGGCTTGTTGTGGTTGTGGGGGCCACCCCTGGTGGGAAAACTGTTGGGGCATGGTGGGCTGGTGGTGGGTTGGTGTTGGTTGGGGTTGGGGGAGGTGGGTTGGTGTTGGTTGGAGTTGGGGGAGGTGGGTTGGTGTTGGTGTTGGTGGAGTGGGTAACGGGATGCTCTGTGGAGGAGGCGCAGCAGAGCTGCTAGCACTTCCCCTCCCTTCAGCCAGGAGCTCTTCTAAACCATCAAGGGGCTCATCTTTCGGGAGCCTGAACCCCGTTTCTTTAAAGTAGGCCTCCTCCCACTCCTTCTCCAACTCCTTGCGCTTCCTGGCAATTCGGACATTAAAGTCCTCCTTGGCTGCCCTCTCCTCTGCAGCCTTTCTGCATTGGTCCAGTTTCGCCCTGTGTCGGGTCTTGTGCTCATGGAGGAGCCTGGCCTCTTGAATTGCGTCCTTGGCTTTGTCAGGGGCCATGCCGTGGGCAACATTCTTCAAGTACATAGCCCACAACGGCATTTTATGCGCCTTCCCAATACGCAATGCGTATTGAGGAAATGGGCATGTTTTGAGGTGGCCGCGGCGTGAGTCCGTGCCGCTGCAGGCCGGGCATGGCCGCATGTTCCGGAAAAACAATCGGCACTGCAAACAATGGCACACCATCTCTTCCCCAAAGAATTCTTGTAACTCCTGGATGGCCCTGCGGTGCTCCTGGAGCCACCGCTCTATGAGGGTAAGGGCATGGCCAAGCTCCTGGAAGGAGGCCGAAGAACCACCGCTGTCAGGGTGGGTTGCTTTTGCTGCCGCCCTGTACGCCCGGCGCAAGAATTCATCCCAGCGGGAAATGGGTTCCTTGGTCAATTGTTTTAGGGAAATCTTGCGCCTCTGCCTCAACCCCCTCCTGCTCCTCTGCCTCTTGCTCTTCCTCCTCTTCCTCCTGTTGTTCCTGGTTGTCTGGAGGAGGGAGGGGGAGGGGGGAGGTGAAGTGTAAGCCTCCACCTCCAAGTCTATCTCCATGCTTTGTGGGACCAAACCAAAGCTGAAGGGGACCACAGGAGGGTGTGTGCATGACACTTGTCCAGGCAAAACAGGAGTTTCCTCGATTGAGGAATCCTCTTGTGTGTCTTGTGTGTTCATCGCTGTGGCGACAGCCATTGCAACCAAAAAGGCAAACTTCATCGTAGGGACCTGAGACACCAAAAAGAATCCCTTCTCTCTCTCTCTCTCTCCCTCCCTCTCTCTCTCTCTCTGTCTCTCTCTCTCTCTCTCTTTTCTCTCTCTCTTTTCTCTCTCTCTCTCTCTCTTTTCTCTCTCTCTTTTCTCTCTCTCTTTTCTCTCTCTCTCTCTTTCTCCCTGTGTCTGGAGTGACTGGGGGTTGAGTGAGTGGGTGAGTGAGTGAGTGACTGAGTGACTGAGTGGGTGAGTGAGTGGGTGGGTGGGTGAGTGGGTGGGTGAGGGGGTCAGTGGGCCACTAGGTGAGTGAGGTGGGTGAGGTGAGTGAGGTGAGTGAGGTGAGTGGGGCGAGTGAGGTGAGTGAGTGAGGTGAGGTGAGGTGGGGTGAGGTGAGGTGGGGTGAGGTGAGGGGTGGGGTGAGGTGAGGTGGGGTGAGGTGAGGAGGTGGGGTGAGGTGAGGTGAGGTGAGTGGGTGAGTGGGTGAGTGAGTGAGTGAGTGGGTGTGAGTGAGTGGGTGTGAGTGAGTGAGTGTGAGTGAGTGAATGAATGAGTGAGTGAATGAGTGAGTGAGTGGGTGAGCGAGTGAGTGAGGTGAGTGAGTGAGTGGGTGGGTGACTGAGCGAGGGGTGAGTGGGTGGGTGAGTGACTGAGTGAGTGAGTGGGTTGAGTTGAGTTGCGTTGAGTGAGTTGAGTGAGTTGAATGAGTTGAGTGAGTGAGTTGAGTGAGTGAGTTGAGTGAGTGACTTGAGTGATCGACTTGAGTGAGTGAGTTGAGTGAGTGAGTTGGGTGAGTGAGTTGAGAGAGTGAGTTGAGTGAGTGAGTGAGTGAGTGAGTGAATGAGTGAGTGAGTGAGTGAGTGAGTGGGTGAGTGAGTGAGTGAGTGGAGTGAGTGGCTGGAGTCAGTGAGTGGAGTGAGTGGTATGGATCACCAGATAAGATATGGGTCGCCAGATATGGATCACCACATATGGATCATCAGAAATGGGTCACCAGATATGGATCACCAGATATGGACCAACACCATTTGGATCACCACATATGGGTCACCTGGTATGGGTCACCAGGTATGGATCACCACATTTGGGTCACCAGATATGGGCCACCAGATATGGATCATAGTGATCACCTTTGGGTCACCAGATATGGATCACCACATACGGCTCACCAGATATGGATCACCACATATGGATCACCAGATATGGATCACCACATGGGTCACAAGATCATCAGATATGGATCACCACATAGGTTACCACATATGGATCACCACGTATGGGTCACCAGGTATGGATCAAGAGATATGGGTCACCAGATACAGATCACCAGATATGGATCACCACATATGGATCAACAGGTATTAACGCAAGGTTCTTCCAAGTCCAGGTCGGCCAGCGTGGCCTCGGCTGCCCTGTGCCTATCGTTATCGCCAAAGTTTTGGGCGTCTGCCGGCTCCATGGCTCCACGTCTTTGATGGATGATCCGGCAAGCGACTTTACACACATGTCATGATTTAAGTGTCTGTTTTGCCCAATGTCATATACGTCTCTCCCACGCTTTTCTTGACCAGTACTTTCTTTAACTAACACTTTGCCTATGATATCTATCTGCGAAAAACTATACTTTCATGTCTCTCATGTTGTCCACTAGCTTTCTTTTCACCCAGGCCAACTTCACTGCACAGAGAGTGGCACGGAACGAGCAGTTGTGCGGCTACGAAGGAATTACGCAGCAGGCCGTTTCAACAGCTAGATGGCTCCAAGCTCCGCCAATTCCCAGCGGGTCTCAAACTATGGACCATGGCAGGCTGGTCCTCTGAAATTTCGAGCACAGGCAACAATGATTCCGCACGCTTGCGTCTTCATCATTGCACCTTTCTTGAATTGTGGGTGCGCGCTGATCCCACACATTCGTGTCCTCACCGCCCTCACCCCTCGCCCCACCCTATTCCCCTGGATCCGCCCCACTCATGCCAAAGCCAGCAGCTAGCCTCTCCGTTGGTGTCCCGGAATTGTCCTTTGTGACGACCAAAAGTCGGACCCTGACGTCATGCAAAGCACCATTTTTCACGAAGTCGACTGCAAACTTTGGTCTGTGTGTGTGTGTGTTTAGTCTTTGGAACCACTGGTGACCAGTTCGGTGGATCTTATAGACTCTTATAGTGGCTGTATGTGACCCACACCTTCTCAGGAAGTTGGAACCCTACAAACTGAGACACATGCAATGAAGAACACGTTTTGAAGCTTTGGAAAACAGCACATGCTTCCCCCCCTTAAGAAAAACAAATCACATGATATTGAACACTTGGGGAGCAACGAATTCTTCATTGTTCACGAACACAAACGCGGGAACCCACAGTGGTGGGGAAGGCAGAAGGCATGGCCGGTTCAGATATGGGGGTAGCTATAATTGCTATAGTACCTATAGGGTCCATGGTTTCAGAACAAGTTGAAGTGTCTTTTCGGGTCTATGACATATAGACAATGGGTGGCCAGGGAATCCTATGGCAAGGATTCAAAGCTTGGATAGGGAATGGTGACAAAGTCCGGAACTGGTTCTCAGATGTTCTCAGGGGGGTGGAAATTGGGATGGAATGTTGTACACCCAGGAAGAGATCCACATGGAACCTGATGGCATGGACCATACTGGAAGCCGATTTTCCTTTGCAACCCCGTGGTTTTCAGGTTCCATGCGGGTCTCTTTCAGGATGTAGTTCCGGATTATATAATCACCCCCCCAGGATCCCCCTAATGATGAGGTGATGACCTGATGGATGATGAGGTGATGCCGGACCTGATGGATGATGGTTTGTGTGTTACACGGATGACACTCCCTGGAACTAACATGGAAGTGGAGACTGGCCCCTTGGAAGACCATTTTCCACTACAAACCGGTGGCTTTCCACTGCCATGTTAGTTCCAGGGAGAGTAGTTCCCAACATGCAATTCGAGCCACTCACCATGTCCTTGGCTGTGCCGTGCTGCGCCGTAGGTTCGTCAAATGGACAAACATCTTGAATCAGCTCCCTTACCCTAGGGCTCCAAGTACCTCCCCAGAAGGTATTTGGACCCTCTAAACCCACCCCAAACACCTTCTTAGAAGGTCCTTGGAGCCCTAGGGTTATCGAACCCAAAAAACACATGCGTTCTGAGAAAAATGAGGCTTCGACTGGATTCAAGGAACGCATGTGTTTTTCCCAAACACTCCATGGGACTGCCATATATGCCTTCCTTGACCCCCCAAACCACCCCAACTGATCGGCATATATGGGAGTCCCATGGAGTGTATGGGATAGAATTGATATGAGTTGATGGTGTCTATTTCGCAAAGGCGACGGCCATTGTCATCGAAAGGTCTTCCACCATGAGCGAGGCAAGTGAGCGAGACCTCCATCAAACACCCTGTAGGTATATATTATAGACGCCCCAAATAGATAGATAGACTTCGAAAAACTAGATCGAATCCCCCAACTAGATAGAATAGATCCCCACAAAACATGTATTGGACATTGATTTCTATTGACTATAGGGACCACCTATATCTGGTCAATACCCTAAGGGTCCAGGACCATCCAAATCGGATGTCCCGGCCCCAGTTCGACCATTCTCAGGAAAGTACTGTCACTCACCTCCGTTCGACCATCCGAGATTCGGATGGTCCTGGACCCTGGACGGGATACCCCAGCACTCAAACAGTACACCACGGACTGAACTTCCAAACTAGGGACCTGCAGGACCACCTAGGACTCCTAGGACCCACTGTCGCTCGGGGTGGTAGATCCATTAACCACCCCGAATCATCACCTCTATCTACGGGGCTATCAAGTTCGACACCCCTTAGGCCTGGTGTCCTGGCGTCCTGGTGAAATCGGACGATGCCACGTTCCCAACTCCGAACCACCGGGTTCTACCGCATCGAACTCCAACGGACCTCACGGCGGACCTCACGGCGGACCTCACGGGACTGTGTTCGGGATCCACGGATCCACCGGCATACCTGAGGTTCGACGAACGGATCCCCGGCACCATGGCACCAGGGTTACCAGGGGGTGTTTGACATGGCCCATCAAGATCCTGGGTTTTCCCTAGCAACAACACATGGTGTTTGTATGTGAAAACAGGTGTTCTTTCATGGTTTGGTTCGGGCCCCCTGGTATATCTTATATACTATAGCTATGCCAATGCCTGTATACATTGACTCCCCACGCACCACCCCACGCCCGTTTCTCGGCAGTCCATCCTGGCAGTCCCAAACAGGAGTCGTGTCTGGGTCCCGCTCCCAGCGCTGCACGAGTGCACACGCGTGCACGCGGTGTCTGAACAAGCATCCAGGTACCACTGAGCCATTGATCTATGGCCATGTCCAATGGAGTGGACTACGTGTCTGCTGGGCGAGTCGTACTCATTTTTGGATTGGAGTGAAGTGGACTCAGGTCAAGGATACTCAAGGATAGTGCAGGGCCTTCCAATGGACACCCTTTTTCGTCTCCACCATTCCAAGGAAGTACCCATCGACCAGGAGTTTCCTTAGGTAACAAAAACAGAAATCTGCCTCTGAGATCCTCCAACTCAATCCGCCGGGCCAACAAAAGGCGCAGCCCACATCCTCCGCACCGCGCCGACTTCGTCTGCGGCCGCCCGACGCGCACGCCTGACGCGTGACGTGGCGCCACGCCGCCTCACACACCGAGTGGCCGCCTCCTTCACCGGTTCCATGCATTGCACGGCTTCACCCGGCGTCTTCCATCCACATTCCTCGGGGGCGTCATGGTCATCGTCGGCATCGTGATGGGCAGTACTGGTGCCGGCGGGCTTTGGAAGGGTGATGGAAGTACTGACTGGTGCGACTCGTAGGGAATAAGGGAATGAGCCCCCAATAGAGATTCTATTGGATCCATTCCCTCATTCCCTGCTAAGCACCAGTCAGAGTAAGATGGTTGAATTTGTAATATTGAATCATCCCAGAGACTCCATGGGACTGGTGACATTATATTCTACATTGACCCTCGGTTAAACATGTTCTCAAACAACAATATATATATAGGCAATGATAGGCATATCACCAGGCATATCAATGACATCCATGGAGTGTCTGGGATCAAATCATGTTCGATGGTTTCCACTCGTTTTCGCTTCAATCATCCCAAGTAAAGGTTGAACATCAACATCTGAAAATCACCACCCCCCCCAGTATACTTGATAGCCTTTTTGGAGTGATCTCCTCATTGAAAACGCCTGCGACCATGTGAAAACCGCGTGCTTCGAGGTCTCGAACTCGCTCGTGCTTCCGCCAACGCTCGGAGGGAGGGAACAGATCCCATGCTAATGTGGCACGAGAGGTGTTTCTTCTCGGATCGCCGCAGTTCAATAGTAAGGCAGCATGAGTCACCGGGATCAACCATCCAAAAATATCCAAAATTAATAACTGGCGAACATAACATATTAAACCACCACCCAGTTCTGCAGGTCATAAAGGTGGTCATTTTCATGTCCGGATTCAGCGGCTGCTGTGTAAAACCCCGAACATGATGGTCCCCCGATCCCGATTCTGTGCAACACAACCGTTCATGATTCGAACGGATTTGCTTTAAGAACCGGGAAAACAAACAAATCCCCCTTTAGGGGATTCATCCTGATTCATCTGGACTCTGAGTGAGGGAAGGAGAAACACGACCATCCCTGTAAAGAACGTCTTAGCCGTTCTTCTATGCTTTCTTCCATCGTTTCGACAACCTCGACCGCAGTCGTGGGGGGAACCCAGAAGCGGGATCAAGCGGTGAACAGCTGGGATGTTGTGCCTGGACAATCCCAGAACCCTGGAATTGTTGTCTGAAAAGAGACAACTAATCCAGTGTTCAGTTTGTTCCAGTGTTCGAAAGACTAAAAGGGCTGTTTAAGAGATTCGATACATCATCTTACATCAAAACATGGCGGCTCAAAAATTCCAGCTTCCAAATTCAAGATCCATGTTGGCCACAGGTTATACAATAACATACGGGTGTCAATTCACTGGGCCGCATCTGCCCTTCCTGTCATCAACACTGTCCATGTTTGCCACCGATTCTTCGATGGTTACACCTGTTTTGTCCGATGATACCCAAACACAACCCATGGGGACTGCCATATATGCATACATTGGGGTGGTTTGGGGGGGTCAATTGATCGGCAGTCCTATGGCAGTCCCACGGAGTATCTGGGTGTGTTACATGTTACATGCATGATCATACCAGTATAAGCGGTATAAGTGGAGGACACTGGTGACCCAACCGCTGCACGGGTTGAAAAGCGTATGTGCCGGCCTCCATGACTGGCTTTGGGATGGTTTTTCGCCAGGGCCAGGTCAGGTGGAATGGGATCCTTTTCGCTTTTGGGGGGATCTTCTGATCTTCCTCCAACCCTGAAGCAGCTCCACAGGACCACAGCTAGCGCACTGCTGTAAGCGCGTCGCCGACGCTGACGAAGAAAAAGGGCCATGGATCAATGAATACGGTGTTCACAATCCGATGGCCCTTGCCATTGCCTTTGATGTCTCGCAGAAGCTCCGGGCCTTTGTATCCTTGGCTTCGAACAAAGGATACAAGGAAAACAAACCACAACCAAGGCAACGAGACTGTTCAATCTGGAAATAGTTACTTTTGGTAGATCCTATATTACGATACCCTGACCTGACCCCCTGAGTCTCCCTGGAAAACATGCTAACCTTTTCACCTGTTACGGAAGCCGAAACCCAAAAGAGATGTGATCCACGGAACCGACTTCCTAGCGTGCACCAGCCCTCTGCAGGTCACTGACCTGCAAAAACGATGCTTCAGACCCGGTCTGAGCTACCAAGCTTCTCGCCAGTAAGGGCGCCCGCTCTCCAAAGCCTCGACCGGTCGACCGACCGCGACCGACCGACCGGTCGACCGGTCGACCGGGTCCGAGTCCTGGTGGGGCCGTGGGTCCCCGCGTCCCCTTCGGACCGTCCCTGCGGACCGTCCAGCCGTCCCTGCGGTGCTGTCGCCGGGTTGGGAGCAAAGACGCCAACCAAACGTAGGCAGGTACGTAACTCACCCGTGCCATGAGCACGCTTTTCTGCGCGCATTCGGAATAGTTGCCAGTTCAGCCAAGAAACAATAGGGCAACGATGCCATAGCTGGATCCGTAATGATCCTGGCTACAAGACGTCACACAGCAATCCCACGATGGCATTGCAGTCCTATAGCCTACCCGAGACACCTCCATGTATGGAATAGATGCCGACATTCACCCCGTACTTCAACCACCCCAATGTATAGGAAAACATGCCAATCCCATGGATGGTCTGGGTACATGAGTGGTGGTTTTGGGTTTATGGCGCCACCGCGACCAGATCTTGTCTGGGCATTGCCGTGGCATTGAGAGCGGCATTGGTCAGGTTGTTGCTTTTACAACTGCACTCAGCCGCGGAAATCACGGCATAGTAGGAAACAACTTGTGTTCCCCAATGGACACGCGACGCCAGGAGGACCAGGAGGGGGTCCCGGCATAGTCCTTGCAAAAAACCAGCTTCCCGCACGGAACGGCAATATTTGGCAATGTTTTTTCTATGTGTTCTGAAAGTCCTTCCCTAGCCCAATTATCATGTATTCACAACAAGCTCCTTGCATGGAAACGCAATGATATAGCAATGATGTTAATCTCCTTATGGTCCCTTGACATCTCCTTGGACCAGGCTCTTTACACTTTACTTAAATCACACAAGTTGCAGCCAGGTATCGGAACGAGGGTGAACGAGAGGGTGAACGAGGTCAAGCAAGGAAAGCCCTCAGAATAAACACCTCTAATTGGTTACCTGACTGATCGTGTATATGCGACACATCCCCTTTCCACACATTACCACGACATCGCCACGACTTCCATACATTCAAATCCCGGAAACGCTTTGCCACGACTTCAACATTTGATTGTACATTCCCGAAAACGAACATGGACCCTGAAAATGAGGCCTTAAAAGACCGTTTTCCTCCAGTGGTTTTCAGGGTCTATGTTAGTTTTTAGTGGCATACCTGGAGTCTCAATTCGTACCTCAGAAAATTGATACTTGGGTGGTTTTCAGGCCATAGCCAGGCACCACACGCGATAAAAAGGTGGGATGCGATGGTCTGCATGTGTACAATCCGATTCTCTGGGGCTCAGTGGATGATGGTTCAGTTGTGGGCATTTCCATCTTCAAAATAGTGATAACTGTTTGGTCGACTGTTAAAGGTCATGGGACACACCCAATTTCTACCATTAAGATGCCGTGACCGTGCTATCAAGACACACCATTCACAGCAAAAATAGGGAAAGCAGGAAAGCATCTCACACAACGCTTTCCACGTTTCTATACCCCTCTCAACACTCTGATCTTTGCAAGTGTTGTTAGGAAACTTTTGCAAACATAGCCAACTTGCGGACACTGAGGGCATAACACTGCCTTGGGATAACACATATATATATTTATATATATATATATTGATCATGATTGTCCTGATCTTTCAACAACAAAAGGTCTCGAATGGGGAGCTATTCCGAGCTGCAGCACGAGCTGACTTTGGCAGCTGCGGAAAAACATTCCAGAAACTCTCGAGACTCTTCGAGCACTTCGATCAGCCAAGTGTCCCTCTTACCAGGTCATGTCCATCTTGCATAAATCTCGGACGGCAGAGACGGGAAAGCGCCGCCAGGCGGACGGCGGAGGATCGTTTCGTTCACGAGGGATGGGATGGGATACCGGACCCGCCAACCAACGCTCGAAAATGGGGTCGCGTTGTAAGGGGGGGTTGAGGATCGTTGGGGGCGAAAATGGTTGGACTCTTTGGGATCTGGATATCTGGATGGATTCAGGTATTTAGGCTTTAGAGAGGCTTTAGAGGGCACTACATGAGTCTGCAACACCAAAGGATCCTTCAAAAGCTCTTGGGAACAAGTAGCTTCAACCTGGTTCAACCTTTTTTAAGGCATCGAGATTAGGAGGAGGTAGCATCCCTTTTGGCCAAGTGTCACCAGATTTGAACCAATGTTCAAACAAACGCTGTGGTGAGCCTATGCTCTTAGGAGGCTTTGATGGTTTTCTGAAAGACACAAAAGGCTACTTGAGCCTCTTAAAACTCATGGAGGGAAAACTCGTGCTTCTCATGGTTTCTTTCTGCACTGAAGGATTGATTGGGCGCATCCATAACACGACGGACTCGGCACTTGACCCAGGTCCGGAACCCGACTTCTGGAACCGCAAGGACCCGACTTCTGGCCCCCCCCGGACCGGGTCGACTGGTCGTGCCCGAGCCCTTTCGGAACCGATATACCCGTTCGGTCCGCCGGTACCACTGCCCCGTCGACTGTGACCCCTGGGTGTCTGCCCGACGAATTCCAGCGCCATCAAGCGGTGGAAGCATGAAGCAAGAAGCGCTACATGCTACTGGACACGAAGCTAGCTAGCCGACCATTCGCCCAGTTTTCATCCAAAGGGGGGTCTCTCCTGCCACGGTTGGTCGCGGCCCGAACCCATGCGGTGTCCGAATCTGCAGGAATCGACGATCGACAAAGCACTTGTTTCGGATGTCCAGGAGTTCCAACAGGTGTGTATTGGAGAAGAGAGATGTGCCTGTCACAGTGAAAAACCCACTCCGGATTGGAGTCAGTTCGAATCCACATGCATATGATCCACACGCGTCGAAACGTGGATTCTCAATTAGCCAAAGCAAAACCGTATTTGATACGAAAAGATCAACCATAATTGTCTTGGTCCATCTTGGTCCTCCAAAAAGTAAAAACTCTGGTTTAATACACTAGCAAGTTCTTCTCAACGAGCATTGCGATCCTAGCTCTCCCAGAACCACCTTCGGTCCTTTTCCGGCGCCCAACCGTCTCCCTCCCCCTTCCGCTGGTCGCGAAAGCGCGGTGCTGTCGCGGTCGCTTGGTGGTCTGCGCTCAGCGGCATGAGCTTCCGCAGGGGCTTGGCGACAGGCCACTGCTCATGCTCCACAGGGTCAAAGAAGTGATGATGCGCCTGGGCCGCCGTCCATCCATCCGGGTCCCGTAGAGCGGTGTGCACCGGTGTCCAAAACGGAATGTGGGAGATCTATAGAATGACTGGCGGTGGTCTATGTAATGGGTACATAGCCCGAAACCACCTCAAGCTGATCAGTAGATGTACCAAAACACTCCATGTATGTATGGCATACGATGGCATAATTATTGACATATTGACATAATTACATTCACCCCTCAAACCAACCCAATATTTACATAATTGTTTTAAATATTGCAGTCCCATGGAGTGTGCGGGTATCATCTTTCTGTGGATCAAGAGCCTGAAGAGTTGTTCCCCAAACAGTTTAACTGCTGGGATTCTTTCAAAAGGAGCAACTAGGCGAAGCAGCCTCGAACACCCACTAGCTGCTGTTGTCGAGTTCGCAGCCCCCCTTGGAACTCCAAGTGAGAAGCCACTTTCGCCCTGGGGACCAAGGGGAGGCAGTCATCCATGCGACATACAATCGACTGGCTGCGCGGTTTCACCCGTTGGCGACCGCACAACAGGCGACAGGAGGCGATTTTTGGGCGAGCGTTTTCGGTGGATGCTCCACAGTCATTCAAGCTGAGATCTCCCCCGCAAAGGGGAGGACATTCACAACATCCAGGACCTTCAAAGTGACCTAAGAGATCCCAGGATGAGGTCACTTAGGCCTGTTCAAGGCCACTTAGAGACTCCATAGAGGTCACTTTGAGGGTCCTGGATAACATACCTGGACCTGACACTGGATGGCGCTGGATGGACCGGGGTGTCCTACGGCTGCTTTCTCCACGTCCATAGGCAGGGCTGGGGTACTTCCGAGTTCTGGAAGGTGCTGGTATAGTTTGCTCACCTAGTTCGGGGTGAGAAGGTGATTTGGGGACACACCCACATTGCCACAGCAAGTCTCCTTCTATGTCCCAACTCCCTCTTTCACCGGTCTTTCCTCCATGAATCTTGAAGATTTCATGGAAGCTCTCTCTCCACATGTTCAACCTCTGCCCCCCCCACTGCCTGTTCCTGCACCTTCGTTCGAGTACCTCCACTCACCACCTTCTTTGGTACGACCCAGGTGCGATCAGAGGGTCGAACATCATGCGCTGGCGCACCGGTCGACCCCAAGGGTCGTCCTGGTTGGTCCATATATCTCCAGCCCTCGGACATCCGGATAGACTCCCGGTGTCAGGTCCAGGTAGACTCCGAAAGCGAAGAAATCCCAGGTACCCTCGCCCCACATTTGGGATTGAACAACCCCAGAGTCTACCTGGATCCATGGAGTCTACCTGGCACCCAGCTTGAAAATCATCATCCAGAGTCATCTGTCTCCGGTTCTGAAGAAGGGTACCATCTCTGGATCCATCTCCCATCCCAGTGACATCCACGATGGCAATCTCCGGGTCAATGGCATCTTCCTAGCTCCGTCCATCGGTCCGAGCGCGAAAAACAGACCGTTTTAAGCGCCTTTGGCGGAGGCGTGACCAGCCCAGATGCGATGGTCCCCCATTTTGGGGAGTATAGAACAAGTCGAGTGAACCACACAAAACGCCCTTGGACACCGTGCCAGGACATCTAGATGCGACTTCAGACCGGTCCACTCGAACCATTCGTCGTGAGTCGCTTCGATGCGAGTTTTGGCGGAACGAAGGACGCACCGTCGACTCGCGTCGACTCGTGTCTTCACATATCACCTACAAATCCAAAGGGTCTGTGATACCCAGACACGACCTGTCTGGGACTGCCAGGACGGACTGCCCAGAAAAGGCCAGGGGTGGTTGAAGGACGGGTGTCTGTCTGGGGCGGCCAATCCGTCCTGGCAGTCCCAGACAGGTCGTGTTCTGGGAGATGTGGATCCCTTTTGGGGGACTGTGTTTCACGGCCGCTTGGAGACGCTGATCCTGATTCACGCCTGATTCGCACATGTGGGGTGCAGGGACGGACTCAAAAACACTCGACGTCGGGCTGTACAGCAGTCAACCCATGAACAAGAACATGACTGCTGTCATCCGCTGTCTTGCCCTAGCCCTTCTAAGGAAATCTAGGTTGATCTCTTCACAAACTTAAAACATGCTCAGCTTGGGCATATGCTATACGTACATGCTCATAAGTCCTTCATGTCAAGCTCATCTTTTCCAAACATCATCCATTTAGTCCAATCAGTTTAGATGCCCGTCGTCTGAAGTTCCAAGATCCGGAGAAAAAGAAGGGACAAAAATGGACTCCTCATACTGCCAAACCCACTCATCTTGTGGCCAGGTCTGCTTCTTCCAACCCAAAGCCACACGCACCTGGCGGCGGGTTGCACGCATGCCACGTGGCACTGCGTGCGGTGACGGCACGCGGTGTTCGTCGTCCGTGGAGTGGGTCTAACGGTTCACCGAGGTGGTTTGAGGTGCTTGAACCCCAGTGATTCCCTTGGCTTGGAGGCTTCCACATCCGTTCGAAGGGACTGCATGGTTTGGTGAAAATCACACACTTCCTACCAGGACCCTCCTGTCGGGGTGTCTATTTATAGCCCCTTCTCCGTTATTAAGGGGTGTCCATTCATCACCCCTTAGCTGGGGGTGCTGGTATATATTTTTTTGTTCTTTAGGGACCTTTGGATCGAAGGGTGCTGAAACCAAAGTCTTTCCCTACAAGTCAATGACCTCATTTTACTGATGTTGGTCATACAAAAACCGCTGAAACCAAGAAGGGAAAGGACCAGGTTTTACTGGGTCAGGCTGGACTTGTAGGGTTTGATGTTACTATGGCCATCATGGCCAATCCGATGTCCCCAAATCGTCGGATTCTCCCGAGAAAAAAAAACAGAGTCTGCCTGGCACCTTCTTTCGGGGTGTCCCGTCTGGAGGTCCCGGAGAGTGGGGGGACTGGGGCGAAAACAGCCAGGTGACCCCGACATGAAGGTGCGCCGTACCGATCCGTCCAAGGCACATTGATCCGTCCAAGGATCTTCAAAAGACCACAGAAGGCAGTGCAGCACTCCATGACGAAGTCCGACAGTCTACGACTCCGGTAGAGAACTTCGCGCGCGCTACAGGGGTGATAGGTGGCGTGTGCAGTCGAAGCGCTGGTGGCACGACTCCGCCCGAACGCGTTGATGTCTGAGAAAGAGGTGACACGATGTTCCCACCTGTTCCTTTTGAGTGGATTAAAAACAAAATAGAGTCTACCCCAAAGAGGGTTAGGCGGGCAATCCACATATTTCCTGGATAGGTTTGTGTGTTCACGCTCTGTTGTTCCTCTCCCCAGAGTCGCCTGTTGTCCACCCTCCTATCGAAGTGACAGTAAACGTGAGACCATGGTCGAAGCTCTTCCAACAGCCACAGTCCATCAACAGAGGCGCAGAAATAAGTTTGGAGGCTGACAGTGATTTCTTGGCTGTTATAGTTCTCCTGTGATTCAAAAGGAAAGATCCCCAAAAATGATTGAATATGCTGTGTCCGTTCATTCTCAGAACCTCCTTGAAAGGGGTTCCCCTCCGCGTGCCCCGCAGAACACAACTGGCTGCCTCACACAACACACTTTGCAGCCAAGATCATCTCACCAAGTCCCGACTTCAGTACTTCAGCATGCTTAAGTTGGATTTGTGCTGTACTTGTTTTGATAGAATCTCTTGAGAAGCTCAGCTTTCCTGCGCGATGCTTTTGGACTTGGATCCATCACCATCTAGGATCCCATCACCCACCAGCAGTTCCTCCAGCAGTTCGGGTGCCGAATGTGGTGCGTTTGATGACATGGCAAACCTGTCCATTTTGGAGGCCATTCTACGTCTCGCATCAACCTCAAACGGCGGGAAACACATCATTGAGAGATCACGCGAAATCTCTCTTTCACCTTCTAGAAAGACTGCGATGTGTCTTTGAACAAAACAAAAAAACATCACTTGATAATTGAGGTGGTGTCGAAGCTCTGTGTCGCTCCAAAACTTGTCAACATAACGCACTGGTGTATACCACAACCTCCGCATAGTAAATATCCAACAAATACCAAACCAAAGAAACAACAACTTCTAACATGTGAAAACAGAAACATCAAACATCATCAAACCACCCGAGGTCTGTTCCAACCCCAATTTCTTAGGCTCTTGGATGCTGCCTGTCTGCCGGAACCCCGGAAGAAATCGATTCCCGCAGCTGAAAGCGCGTGGGTCACTGGGAGATCGACGGTTCAACGGTGTCTGCTTCGACGGTTCCGCCCAACTGGGGCCCCCCAACCAGGAAACTTCCGGCCTGTGAGGGCGAGCAACCGCGACGCGTGGACTCGGACGATGAAGTTGGACCCGGACGATAAAGAACCACAGCCTTTCGGAAGAGGACGCGACGAACGGGGCGACGAACGGGCCTTACCCTACGAACGGAAGCTTTACAAAGGATTTTAGACAGAAACACGGTTGTCGAAGGCGAGGCTAGGGAGATGATCGTCGACTGGATTTCTTGTCCAGGAAGCCAATCCCAAAAGAAAACAAGATCTTTTTCAAAGGGGATTCATGCATACCCAGACACGACCCATGGGACTGCCATATATGCCGATCAGTTGGGGTGGTGCCAGGGGGGTCAATTGATCGGCATATATGGCAGTCCCATGGAGTGTCTGGGATAGATATGCATACCCTAGGGATCTAAGTACCGAACCTCAGGTACGGTGAGGACGGAGACACTGAGACATGGCCTGTGCCAGGAGGGTCCTAGGATTCCTAGGATCCCTAGGGAGAGGCATAGGGAAAGTAATATCACCCTATGCAACTCCAGGTTGTGGGCCCTCGTCTCCTGGCTGGTAGAAAGCCCTACGCCCTCCGTACAATATACGTGTATCTCCGGCCGTCGGACGTCCAGCGTCAGGTCCAGGTACGTGATAGATATATATATATATATATCTGGCACCACCCCAATGTAGGTGACTATACCAGTCCCATGGAGTGTCTGGGATATGTTTCTTGTGAATGTCTGTTCAAACACTGCAAAGGATTGCATGCCATGATCATGAATGGTGGTTGGGGGTGTCCCCAACACTCCATGGGACTGGAACTCCGTGGTATGTTTCCATTGAACGAAGATGACCCATGGGGCTCTACAGTCCCCATGCATAGCAGCTTAGCTGGATCAGTAATGATCCTGGCACTGCCAGAGTTTCTCCTGAGCACTCTGCAGTCCTGGCCTACCCACGACAGTCCTACGCCATTCACCTAGACCTATGGCCCAAAAAAACCAGACACAAGCTGTCTGGGACTGGCAGCCTATACATGCCGCGCCATTCACCCCGTACTTCAACCACCCCAATGTATAGGAAAACATGCCAATCCCATGGATGGTCTGGGTCCATGACTGGTGGTTTTGGGAGAGAAATCCAATGGTGGTTTTGGGTGAGAATCTCATGTAGGCCATACAAAATGGCACCACCACGATCCCTTCTCGCGTCTGGACATTGGCGGCAGAGAGCAAAGAGCAGCATTGGTCAGGTGGTTTGCGGCACTACAACTACCTGGAGTCTCAGTTCGTACCGCAGGTTCAATGGGCACCGCAGTCGTAGCTGCTTTTGTTTTGGGCGTGTTTTCACGCCGTCCCGCTCGATCGAAGGACGTCGGGGTTTGGGTTTGGACCACTCCACTTGACCAACTGCCATGGCGTTGACGGATGCAATCAAACATGTCCCTTTCCCTTTCCCGTCAAATATATTGTCATCGACTTATATACCCAAACACTCCACGTATAGAACATGTGTCTACATTGAAGTGGCTGAAAAGGGGTCCATGTAGGTAAAAACTAGGTAAAACTTGGATTGTCTGGGATAGTTACACGCCACTGAAGAAACGGACATTCCTGAAGAAACGGATCACCTATATGGTCTCAGCAAACTCTTTTGATGCAGGACTGCCAGGGCTTCCGAAACCCAGTCAGACTCCATGTGACCGCCATCTTGCCACTACTCGAGCAGGGTGGAGCAGGGTGGTGTTTTTGCTGGGGGGGGTCATGGTCCATTTTCATCGGCATCTCTGGAAAGCGTTTGCAGACTCGGTGGTGTTCGTGAAATCAGCCCCCTAGAAGTCGGGAACACTGACCTCATGGACCCTGGTTTTGTCTCATGCAAAACCTGGAGGTGCTTCAAAACCAAGGGTCTCCTGTGCCTAAACCCACCTGTCATTACAAAGGGATACGTCGATTTGGTTGATGACTTGTTGTTGTTGTTGTTGTTGTTGTTGTTAGAAGACCTTCATGGACCGGGAGACCTTCGGACGTCTGGATATCACGCATCGTGGGCTGGCTAGGAACCCAGCCAGGAGACGGGACACGGACCAAAACCACCCAAAAAGCCAGCTTGGAGGTCCCTCTCTATTAAAATACACGCCCACATGGAGATCAGAACCAAAAATCCATCCACCTTCAATCCATTGCACCCCATGGCAGAAAAAAAAAAACACCACCCCAGCGCTCTAGACCCGCCCCCTGAGTCCCGTGCCTTGCGCATCGCCTGAAGAGTCACGTGTTTCGCCGGGTCCCCGAGGGTGTTTCTTCACGGCCGGAGGGGCCGCAAAGTACCCGGAGAGTACCGGATGCCCAGGTGCAAACAAGGCGCGGTATTGTTGTACCAAAAAGACCAGTTGCAGTTGGTTCGAAGATTGGCCAACAAAACCCAAACACTCCGGACTGGAACATGATCCTTCGTACCATGGACCCCCCAGATCCACCCGATGATGATCGCCATACCCTAGGGCTCAAGTCAGACCTTCGTTTCGAAGGTGGGACTGGGGTGGGTGCCAGGAGGGTCCAGACATACCGTACCTGGGGAGGTACGACTGGAGCCCTAGGGATATGCAGTGTAGGGGACACATTCTTCCCCAAGCCTTTTCCTGCTGAATCAACCCCAGACCAGAGCGGCCTGGAGATGTGGACGTGTGAAGGGCTTAGATATTCATCGTCGGTGGAATTCTTCTATGTGCTTATCACCAGATGTTCTGATGTATCCCCCTTGGAATCAAAGGGGGGAGTCCCTCATTTTTGTAGAAAACACCCGCGTCGACTCTCCCCAAAATTGGGCTCAACCTCTTTATACAATGATGGGCCAACGTCCCCCAACGTCAGTATGTAGAGAATTTGTATTTTTTTAATATTTCTGGTGTAACAAACAGTTCTCTACAAAATGAGGGCCTTGAAGTCAGAAGCTGTAGACGACCCTGGTCTACAAAATGACCCGGTTGTACCAACATGACTCTACAAAATGACCCCTGACTACTCAACACTCGTGTCTACCAAATGACCCCTGACTACTGCGTCTGTTCCTAGTCTACAAAATGGGGGCGTGCCCGTCATGTTGTAGAGAAACGTTTTTTGGCTCTACAAATTGGCACCTCCAGGGCCTCGTCGTTTTGTAGAAACTAGATCGCGTTATGTTTATTACTAAATCAAAATGTGGGATCTCCTTATAATTTCCTAAAACATACTGTATGCATCTGTATGCATTTGCACATATATGTAAAAGTATGCACATGATTGATTTCATTTGCATCCCTGCCTTGTAGCTGAACATCCCGAATATTGTAGACTGACTTCTTTCGGAGGTGCCATTTTGTAGAGCCTTCTTTCGGAGCCATTGCTATTGGGCGGCTGGAGGCCATTGCTATTAGGCTGGAGGCCATCCCTAGTAGGTTGGAGCATGCTTTTCCAGAGTCAAATAGAATCAAATAGATTGAAATAGATTGAAATAGTATGAAGTAACCCCAAATATAAAAACAAAATCGATACAGCGATACAATCTATCAACATCATCCAAAATCTCTACAAAATGATCAAAATCATTCAAAATCGCTACAAAATGCCGTGGAAGACTCGACCCGAATTCTTTACAAAATGCTGTGGACGATACAAAATGACATCAGGCGTTTTGGCAACCTTCTCTACACTGAGATCTCTACAAAAGGCATCAAACCACATTCCACATCTCTACAACATGATATCAACATGAACTGTCTACAAAATAAATCATCCACCTCT